CACTTGTAATCATCGAACGAAACTCACCCGACCACCGCCCTTTTCAAAGACAGTTTCCAAATTTCGAACGAACCATTCGAAATTCCTTTCGAACGGACGTGTCAAGAATCAAGCGGAGAGGCTCGATCGCCACAGAGCTCGGAACGCCTCGTTTCCTTTATCCAGGCGGCGGCGTGTCGTACGTGTAGGCTGATGGCCGACGATCGTTCCAAACGTTGCCCACGGGGTTGCAATCATCGTTTTCGAGGCAGCCAAGGCCACACCCTTGATTCTCATTAAGATTTACCGCCTAAACGAGCGCTACCTATGTCCGGACGGGTACGGGGGCTACCATCCGGACCCCTCGTCGAAAATAATATAAAATGATGCGGCCGCTTTTTAGAACGACGACGCCGATTAGGAACGACCGGCCGAGCACGCCGCTCTCCCGCCACTCGACTCCTTTAGAATCTCCTCAGCTTACAGCTGACTCTCCTCTCCGATAGTCATTCGACTCTCGAACGTGACTCGGCCGGCAAACAATAATCGTGAAAATTCCTCTAAAACTTACGGCCCCTGTCAACCCACTCGCGTTAGGTATCCATTCGACTCTTACGTTCGATCGAGCTTCATTCTTATAAATTAGTCTAAATTATATATAAATTCTTTGGAAACTTTCGTAACAATACTGTCGTACCGAAGATTGAACGAATATTGTCGTCAAAGCTAATTATACGGGAAACTGATCAAATGACTGATTTTAACCCTTTGCACTCCGTTGTCGCCTGGCGACATTGTAAGATAAGTTTATAACTTCGTTTTTAGTCAAACATAACTTTAAAATAAAATAACTATCCTTCTTAATTTATATATGTTTTCTTATTAATTAGTTTCAAAGAATATCGTCTGTATCTCATTAGAAAATATTGAATATTTCCGGTGAAAAACTTCTGGAGTGCAAAGGGTTAATATTCCATTATTTTCACGTTGTATGTTTTTCTCGGCGAAATCGTGCGGCACTGAACGTTAACATTGACACTGGCATTTTTATAAACATCCATCGAATTCGATTTGCAAGATTCTTCGTTTTCCTTTTTGTACTACAACTTGAACATCGAACTATTTTCCATTATCGATGTGTATCGTGTTTTCTACGCGTACATCCACGAGCGAAGCTAACCATTATTCAAGTTCCAAAGGCTTGAACAAAAACAAAATTCACCTGCACGTTCTCGTAAATATTATCCAGGTGGATAATAACTCGAGGATAGAGCTGAGTTCGTAGAGAGGCCGCGAATCACGTTTTTTACAATGAAATATTCGTTCGTGGGAAGGATAGCAGGGGCTCGCTCGTGGAGGAGCACGTAAAGCTACCGAGGATCACGGCAGAAGGAACTTTCGGCGTGACGAACCACCTATAATTAGAGCAGGTATTCGAGTGAAAATTATAGAGGGGAAAAGGACGAAGGGCAAGCTAGGGCAAAGCGACGCTGGCGGGGAAGAAACCGGGCGAGGACTAGTGGAGGGGAAGCCGTAGGCCGCGAGCCGGCATCGTGGACTAACGACAAGGGAAAACGCCGAGAGAAAACGAGTTTAACCCCTTGCCTTACAATAACGTGCGAGAATCGCGAACAATTTAAATGGTATCTAACAAACATAAACATTACTTGATTCTTTTCAATTAAAATGAAATATTGTTGTTCCGTTATTAGTTATTATATTGTAGAGCAAACGTAGATATAGGAAACCCATAGAATGGTCCTGTTTTTCTAATAAATTATCAAACATAAACATTACTCAATTCTTTTGTATTCAAATGAAATATTGTTGTTCCGTTATTAATTATTATATTGTCAGGAAAACATAGATATAAGAAACCCATAGAAGGGTCCTCTTTTTCTACTAAATTATTACTGACAAAGTTGTATCTATCACAGGTGAAAAATAAATCATAAGGCAAGTTAACTTTTTCTACTAGGAATGTTCATCGTTTCTTCATAAATTCTTGAAATTTCTTGAAACATCAGTGATACCTTTTACGATTGACACGAAGAGTCTTACTTTTGACACGAAGAAAACTTTTACTATAAACATTCAATCTTGATTGCTAGAGATCCCATAGATCACGTTCATCGGAGTTCCTTCAATTAACAAGACAGAACGAAACGAACGAACCGAAATATTACGACACGAACCGAAAGATTAACCCTTAGCACTCGAAGAGGTGACTCTCACCGTTTGATTTGATACAGCGCAACTATAAAGTTGAACATTTAGTGTTTTAAATTAAACGTTGTATCGCTATGGGAAGTATTTAAATAAAACAGCTTTGTCGCTTAATTTATCTGTGAATGATCGTTGACCCTTTGCGGTCCGAAGTCCTGGTTTCTCACTTCGAGATTCACGTCGACGTCAGTTCATTCGATTACAGCTTAATACAACTCTCTATTTATTTACTCAAAAATATTTAAGAATCATTGAAACATTACCTTTAAACGGTACAATTGTATACCACAAAAGATATAGAAAAAATCGTTAAAACACGTAGAGGTTGCAATAAAATAGAATATCTACTGTTAAGGGTCAATAGATTGACAATTCAGTTCGCGTATCGTTAAACGAGTTTCTCGAATAATTCCTCCGAGGAACATCTGTTATCCTTTGAATAATTGCAAAAAGGAGAAATCAGGAATTTCGAGCCGTCTGGTAGATTCAGCGTCAAGACGATCGAGACGCGGACGAGGCAAAAGTGGTTTCTTTCGTTCGCGCAGCATCGCCGGTACTTTCGGCTGAGAAGAGAGTATAGGTTTAGCTAGCAGGTGCTTATTACCTGGCCGGCATTAAATAAATTCGATAATTGTGCCGGCGCTGCCTTTCTATCGTGCCCCGGCCACCCGTGCGCTCGGCCGATCGAACGCGTCCCGGCGGAATTCAATTTGACACGCTTTCACTCAACTTTCACCCGATCGTATGAACTATTGGTACTAAAACATTGTCCCTTGTCCCTTTACACGGATTCCATTGAATGTCCCCGTATCGACCTTCGACTGGCCGGGGCCCTCCCGACCGGAGAAACTGGTCGCGGTCAGCCGCCGAGTGGTTGTTTCGTAACAACCGTAACACGGGCAAAACGAAACAGCGAAATTAAACAGTATTCTTTGCTCTCGCGCATTGTCGTCTCGGCCCGGCCCCGTCCGACGAACAATGAAGCTGTAAATACGCCGGCAAAACAGCCGGTGCTTTAAATTTCCCTTTTACTTTGCATCCCGGATAACTTACCCCCGAGTTTGATAAGAGTTCGGCTGTTGCGGATACTCGGAAAATTCTTGTCTTTCTCGTTCGATGTCGCGTGTCAGTGTATTGGCGTCTCGATGATTCATCTCGTTTTGCACTGAAAGTATTGCACCAGTTCTCCAATATTGCACCAGTTCTGATATTAAATATTTTAATGAATCTTATCAAAGTTTCAACAAATATTAACATTTCAATTGCTAACGTAGGGGTTGAAAGAAAATCGTAACAAGTTAACATCGCACAGTTTAATGATGGAATAGAAAAAATTTGAAAATATTGCGATATCAAAGTTTCAACAAGTATTAACCCTTTGAACTCTGTAGGCTCCGATATTGCACCAGTTCTAATATTAAGTATTTTAATGAATCTTAAAGAAACCACTCTAAAATTACTCGATTTTCCACACATCCAAATTTTGCACTAACAAGGAAAACAAAAGTTCGGAAACGAGACGAAACAAAGGACCATCGATTTCGTACGATCGAAAGTTATATACTAGACTTCATCAATTTACTATGTCGAATCAAGCGATGACCGAGAGTCCGTCGAATGCGGTAGCTAAATTACGCCTGTCGTTCAAGGAAAACGAAGCTCCCTCGATTTTCAATGAATTTCATGTTCGGTTTCTGCATAAGAAGCGGTTACGAGAGGAATGATGCGGTGTAATCTAAGCGAGCAGACTGTCGAAGGTTACTTTTTTATTTTCCATCGAGCTCGGACACCATTACGCCGCTACCGCCGTTTAACCTTTAGTGCACAGGCGAAACTGCGCCGGGTATAGTACTCCATTTTCCCGCGGCGCGTTATTGACGATAAAATGGCGTCTGATGGACGCAGTCCGAAGGAATTGTACGAGGCGAGGGGTTAAACGCCGATCGCCGCGGGTTCCCGTCATCAGCGGAAGTATATGAATGATAAAATCCCTTCGGAACTGTCGTGCCTGTAGCTATTTATTGTTCGATCCTGGAAAACGCATTCTGGAAAAGGTGAAATCGCGCCGGTTGTCCGAGTTAGGGTTTTCCAATTCTGCCCGCGACTTCCGTGGAATTCTCTTATGTCTGTCATATGTATTCCGCTTACCGAATGACAAATTTCAATGACAACCGAAGCTATAGCGCACGAGAGACGGAATCTTGGTAGTAGAATTGTTAGACGAGTCGGTATTCTTATAATTATTAAAATAAGGATGCTTCTGGAAATTTCAAAAAGAATTCCTCTGTTTAACACGTTGATCGCCGATTTCATAGAGAAATCCACTGAATGGTGAAGATATAATATTAACCCCTTACACTCGAGGAGTGACTCCCAGTCATCACTTTATTTGATGCTACAAAACTATGAAGTAGAATATTTAGTGTTCTAAATCAACCTTTGTGTTACTATATGAAATATTTAACTAAAATAGCTTTGCTTAATTTATCTAGAAATTATCGTTAAATTAGTTTCAAACAATACGACCTATATCTCGTCAGAAAATACTGAATATTTCCATTGAAAAACTTTCGAGTGCAAAGGGTTAATCAACTTATCAGTCCCACTCGAACGGTCGATCGCTAGATTCGAACGATTTCGTTCGTAAGCTAGAAACGAAAGAGCGAGCATCGATCCCGAATCGAACGCCGGGCGCACGATCGAAAGTAATCGTGGACGGATCGGCGCGATTAGGGGATCAACGGCGAAGGAAACCGTGGATAATAACGCGCCGGTCGCTTCCGGGATTGTTTCAGGTACCTGGGAGTGGAGCCTCGGCTGAATGGCGGTTCGGGCCAGGGAAGCGGTGCCGACGGACAACCTCAGATCGTCGGCGCGGGTGTGATCGGACCGGCGAGCGCCGAAAAGAACTGCAAGAGCGTGCACCTGACCGCCAAGCAGCAGGCGATATGCTCCCGCTCGCCGCCCGTCCTGCAGGTATTTACCTCGCGGCGGGGGCCGAAGAACCTCTCGGATTAATGCCCGGGGAAGCACGCGGCTAATTCGATTCACGGGACCCGCCGCGCGAGAAAGATAGAGAAAACGAGCGAAAC